TAGGGATTAGGGTTTAGGGCTCAGGCTTCCGGGTTTTGGGATGTTAGGGAGAACGTACGGGGAACAGAGGGGTTCTTTGGGGATCATATAGGGATCACGTAAGGGGATTACAGGATTTGGTGCTTAGGGTTCAGGGTTTGTGCAAGGGAAGCGATGTACTGCAAGGGGCTGTAAGGGCAGGCTGACATGTGCGGTTGCGCTTCGCATGTCTGCTTTAGGCTCGCGCTTCACAAGCGCAACTTTAATGACGTGAAGCTGTGGATCAGCAACGGGCGGCTCTGCGGCAACGCGGTCCGGCACTCGATTTGCTGTGAGTCATTAGTCCTATTACTATTTTATGGTTCTTATTGTCATCACTGTTATTAGCATGGTTATTACTATGGTTATCATTATGGTTCTTCTTCTACTTACTATTTGTGGCGCAAAGCTTGGAGCTCTTGCCTGTAAGGTGATTGGCTACCTCAAGTCGAAAGGCTTTCCTGAGGTGCCTTGGGTCATGAAGCGATCGCCCTAAGCCCTAAACCCTAAACCCTTAACCCTAAACCCTAAACCCTAAAAGTGGGCTTGTGCCCTTACTCCCAGGCTGCTTGCATTATAATCTACCTTCTCGTGGTTAGTTGGGAAGAAGAGAATGGAACCCCTACGTACTCCCCGTACATTCCCTTATTTCCTACTAACCCTTAGCCGTAAACCCTGAACCTCGTATATGCACATATATATGTATTTATATGTATATATTTTCCTTTCTTCCCTACTAACCCCCTGTCAGTTTAGTAGATCTTGAAGCCAGGTGGCTCTCCACTTCGTGGAAGACCAGCAGACGCGCACCTACCTAAGAGAAATAGGGTTTAGGATTTAGTGTCTTTTATTTGGTTATGATGGTTCCTATTTGAACTACTATTGCTATCTTTGATGGTTATGGTCAGTAGGGATATTTTTCAGTTCTACTATGACTGATTTTATGTTTCGTTCAGGTTCTTATGGTTATTATGGTTATTACTATTGTTATTCTGGTTCTCTGGTTGTTCTTAGTACAATAATGATTGATATCATTATTGTTTTGTGACCGTAGCTTACAGCCAACGTCGCCTTCAGATACTGGTAGTTGCTGCTCTTGTGACAACTACAGCCACCGACCTGTGGATTCCTGACACGGACCCAGGATACAAAGCCCTAACCCCTGAACCCTAAACCCTAATCCCAAAACCTCTAAACCCTAAACCTCTGAACCCTAAACCCTAATCCCTAAGCCCTAAACCCTTATCCCTAAACCTTATCCCTAATCCCTTAACCCTAAGCCCTAAACCCTAAGCCCTAAACGCAGATGCTCAGAAAGCTCACCCTCTGAGGCTTCAACTTGGCCCTCGAGTGCCCCTTCCGGCGTTGCTTCTAGCTGCGGACCTTGGTTGTAATATAGGGGCCTAAATGATTCACGGTTTCCGGTTTAGGGGCCTCAATAATTACCAATATTCTGGTTTAGGGTGTAGGGGTTCAGGGGCATAAATAATTACCCATATTAGGGTTTAGGGTTCAGGTTTTCCGGTTTAAGGGCCTCAATCATTACCAATATTATGGTTCAGGGTGTAGGTTTCAGGGGCCTAAATGATTAGCAATATTAGGGTTTAGGGTGTAGGGTTCAGGGGCCTAAAAAAAATTACCCATATTATGGTTTGGGGTTCAGGGTCTCCCGATTAGGGGCTTAAATAATTACCAATATTATGGTTTAGGGTTTAGGCTTTAGGGGCCTAAATAATTGCCAATATTTCGGTTCCATATTCCTTGTATAACTATAGTATATGGTACCTCAAATGGACCTCAAAATGATGTTGGTAATTATTTTGGCTCCTGTTGTACGCATTTGAGCTTTTGTCTAAACTCCTTAAAATGGGGTTATACAGGGGATGATAGGGTATTATAGGGCTCTATAGGGTTTAGAGTCTAAACTCCTCAAAGGAGGTCTATGGGGGATTATTTAGCCCCTTTGTTTAAGGTTTAGGGTCTGAACTCCTTAAAGGGGTTCTATGGGGGATTATTTAGCCCCTTTGTTTAGGGTTTAGGGTTTAAACTCTTTAAAGGGGGTTATTTAACTGAAGGGGTTATTAGGGGGATACTAGGAGTTTTAGACTATAGCTCATTTGGAGCTTCCCAATATTACTGGTGCCTTTGAAGGGTTGTTGAAGTGTTGGGGGTTCTAGAAGGGTTCTGTAGGGATATATAGGGATCAGGGTTTAGGATTTCCCAAAATTAGGGGTACCTTCGCGGGTCCTTATAATAAGATCTTAACATTTTGGGGTCTATAGGGGTCCCCCTATTTAATAGGGATGAGAATGGAGTCTACCAGTTGGAGCTGTGGTAGGAAGTACACCAGGATATGAAGATTGACGTCTACGACACGGGTTACCCTGAACCCTGAACCTGGGTTACCTGATAGAACTTGGTGGCACATGCATGTTTCAGGGCCTTTGCAGGAATGGAAATCTCTTAAGCTATCTGACAGACGCCGTTACCGGAGATTGCTGAGGGTGTGCGTGGGATGTTTTTGTGGGGACCGTCAATAGAGAAACCCCTGCGTAGGCCGGATGCTTCTGCAACATCCCGATACATCATGATCGTCTCTCGGATCCCTGCTGTCGTGCTCAAGCCCTAAACCGTAAGCCTCCCGATATTTCCCGATGTATCCCTATATGCCTAAATGCCCCTATATATACAACTATATCCACAGCTACCATAACATGTCCGACCATATGCCGCCTAACCCCTAAACGCTAAAGCCCTACTCCTGTGCAAAGAAAGGGTTGTTTTGATCCTTGGCACCAGGTACGGACACATCGAGGAGGCCAGAAAGAACAGTAGTCATTTTAGGGTTGAGTGCTACAAGGGTTTAGGGTTTAGCGTTAGGGACCCTAAACCCTAAACCCCTAGACACAATCTTTAGGACTTTGGGGTTGAGGGGTCTGGGCTAGATTATGGTTTGGGGTTTCTGACTTCAGAGGTTCCTTCGGGTTTGCATGGCAGGGGGATCTGGGCAATTCGGGGGTCCTCAAGGATAGCAGGGGCCACGTTTAGGCCAGAGCCTCTTTACATTTTAGAAGCATCTTGTAGAGATCGGCCCATAGCCCTAAACGCTTATCCCTAAACTCTAAGCCCCAATCCATAAACCCTAAACCCCAAACACTCGCCTTCCCTTTAACTCCTAGATCCTTCTGCTCCCCCATATGTACCCGCAATATACTAGCTGTAGTCACTCCCTACTCCTCCCTAGGCAGCAGTGAATACAACCAATAAACCGGGATCCAATCCCAGCTTCCATTTCAGGATCCATTTGCTTTCCAATTGGATTCGTTCCTGCGTGCTTCTCGAGGCCATGACGGCAGCACAGGAGCTTGACGAGCGAAGTTGCCAAGTCCTTGGATGCTTTTGTTGGTGTGGGCCCATTGTAAGGGTGTTATGTTGTCTATGTAGGGATAGGTGGACATGTAGAGTTTCACGTTTAGGGGGAGCGATGTCAGCACAATCTCCTTACCTTGCCTCATGGGATTTCTCGTCAAAAAGGGGTCTGGTCTTGGGTCTTCACAAGCAGTATTCTACATGTAGCATTCTAGGATATTCTAGGTATTTTCGTATGATGTTGTCTGCAAGTCGGGGTTGGATGCCTTGGCATGCTGGCATGTGCCAAATGGGCTGGTGGGTTGCACAGAAGCAATTCGTCATTTGCTTGCATGCAAGCGCAGAACATTGAGAACGTAAGAGTAGGAGTCTCAAGCGCGGGATGATGCCGTTCTTCCACTGCCCAACAGGGAAACGAGAATGAAGGAGTTAGGTCTAGGGGTTAACACACACCGACTATGTAGGGGCCACTACAGGGGTCCGTTGCTCCGTTTGCTACTCGCCACGTCAACTTGGTCCAATTCATAGATTGGGGTTATATCAGGGGTTATA